AGACAGCCATCTACAGGCAGGAAGGGAGCCCTCACCAGACACCGCATCTGCTGGCAGCTTGATCTTGGACTTTCAGCCTCCAGAACTGTGAGAAACACATTTCTGTTTTTTGAGTCTGTGGCATTTTGTTATAGCAACTTGAGCAGACTGACAAGTGCCACATACTTAAAATCTCATTTTGTGATGCTTGGCTCTGAAGAGTTTTCTGTAGAGACAGGAGATGGTGTGTGGAGTCCTCCATGACCTTTGCCCCCTACAAGAGGGTAGGAGGTGCTTCCCTGCCGTAGGGCCAGTGGGCCTGGCTAGAGCCCTCTTGTGTGTGTTCTTTGCAGCGGGCGGGGCACAGTGGATCGGAGCCTGACGTGCTGAGGAAAATCTGGAGTGTAAGGAACTCTGCAGTTGGTGTCAGCAGAGGAGAGGGGGCTGCTGTCCTAGTGTCCAGTGGCAGAGCTGTATGCAGTCCAGAGCCCAGCTAAGGGCCTCCAGGGAGAGTGCAGGCTGAGGACCAGGCAGGAGCTGGCTTAAAGTGACTGTGCCTGAGAACATGGCCTGGAGGGGAAGTGGGGTTGGTCTCTGAGAACAGGGAAAGGAACTGGAAGAGGAAAGAAAAGAGATATGCGCCTTTCACCAAGGTGGGGTAAGAGGAAGTCCTAACTTTGAATGAAATCCAAGGGTTGTTTGTTTTAAAACATTAAAAAAAAATTATTTCATGGGATTGGACATTTGCTTTGGCAACTAAGTGACTGGTAGACATTTAAAAAAATTTAGTTTGAACAAATGGGACTATATCAAACTAAAAAGCTTCTGCACAGCAAAAGAAACAATTAACAGAGCTAAAAGACAACCAACAGAGTGGGAGAAAAGATTTGCAAAATACACATCTGACAAAGGACTAACATCCAGAATATATAAAGAACTCAAACAACTTTACAAGAAAAAAACAAGCAACCCAATCAAAAAATGGGCAAAAGAGCTAAGCAGGCATTTCTCTAAAGAAGATATACAAAAGGCCAACAGTCATATGAAAAAATGCTCAACATCACTCAGCATCCGGGAAATGCAAATCAAAACCACACTGAGATACCATCTCACCCCAGTTAGGATGGCAAAAATCCAAAAGACACCGAAAGATAAATGCTGGCATGGCTGCGGAGAAAAAGGAACTCTCTTACATTGTTGGTGGGAATGCACAATGGTGCAACCCCTATGGAAAATGGTTTGGAGGTTCCTCAAACAACTGAAGATAGATCTACCATACGAAAATCCCCTTTTTTTTTTTTTTTTTTTTTT